ACCGTCGGGTTTGGGTTCGAGGTCTCCATCATAAGATCGAACATATTCGCCATAGCCTTGAACTTGTCTTTATGCTCGTCTATGACTTTGTTGGCAGCTGCTAGTTCCCGTCGGAGAGAGGAATCTTCTTCTATTCTTGCTGCATGTTCGGCCCTCGCCCTCGGGACATCGTTCACCGTCCCAATCCCAACAATACGTCCCCTTTTCTTCGGAGCAACCTACAAAAGATCAAATTCTATTTACTAATTATATTTATATAATTAAGTAAAAATGTGAAAATTTAATAAAAAATTAAAAATGTTAATAAAGTTAAAAATTAAAATAATTTACCTGCTCGAAAATCTTGTCTTGGTCGATGGTTATAAGTTGGACCGGTGGAGCATCCGGATTTTGTTGCGACATCTGAGTCTGGACCTCTTCGATCCGAGCCTCTACCTCGTTGTAGATCTTCTCTGCTTGAGGATGCACAAAAGTCCCATCAGAACGCTGGTGGGTAATCTTGTATAGTTGAGAAATTTATCAGTTACTATTCCTCTTGAATCTTTATGTGCATACATCCAACTCCGGATCTCATAAATATTTCTAGACATTTTTAAAAAAAGTTTTCTGTTTTTTTTTTCCCGTTTTAAGAATGAGGAAGAAGATCATATTTATAGAGAAATTTCGATTTTGGTAGGTAGTTAACTTAGTAGTTAAACAGATGCAAAATGGATGCAAAAGAATTAGTCGTAATATGGTAGCACTTTTACGACCAATTTACAACCAAATAGTAGTTCATTGGTGGTAAAATATATTAGATGTATATTAGTCGTAAATTTACAACCAATGAGTGTCAATTTTACGACCAATTTACAACCAAATAGTAGTTAATTGGTGGTAAAATATATTAGATGTATATTAGTCGTAAATTTACAACCAATGAGTGATAAATGGCCTTTACGACCAATTAGGGACTACATTTGTAATATATTTAAAAAAAAAGAGAAGAAAGACACTGGAATCACAAGTCCATAGATTCTAAGCGAAACCAACGTTTCAATGTTAGTCCCGCATTAATCTTTTTGGAGTTGTGATCCCAGTGTCTTTTTTCTCTCTTTTTCTTACATTTTAAAACTCTTCGACTCAATTATCATCTCTCTTTATTAATATATTTCAAATATTAGTTTAGAAATATTTGGAAAAGAAGAGAAGAAGGATACTAGAATCATAATTCCGTGGATTCTATGCGAAACCAACGTTTCAACGTTCGTCTCGTATTGATCTCTTCGGAGTTTTGATCCGAGTACCTTTCTCTCTTCTTTTTCAAATCTTTCAACACTATATCTAAAATATTTTAAAAATTTTGTTTGTCTTTTGGGAGAAAACGATGGTTCTTTTATAGGGGACATTACGACTACTTAGCTTCGAATTTTTACGACTAATTAGCATCTCGTACCATCATTTAGTCGTAATAGAGTCGTACATTACGACCAATTAGCATCAACCTACCATTAAAGCCTTGACCGAAATCCTAAACACGTGTAGTCGTACACTAGTCGTAACTTAACGACCAGAGTACGTTTACACGGACATGTAGTCGTATATTGGTCGTTATGTTACGACTAATGTACGTCTATATATATTGGTAGCAAGTTAACCTCTGAGTTACGACTAATGCTTTTTTAGACGTAATGTAGTCGTAAATGCGAAGTAAAATTACGACTACACATCTGTAGTCGTAATCCCTAGTCGCTATGACAACGTTTTCTTGTAGTGGTTTTATTATTTAATAGATTATATATGAAATTTTTAAAATATGATAAATAAGCAAAATATAAAATCATGGAGAAGTTGATAAATCATCATTGCTTTCTTTATATTTAACTACAAGGTGTTTTGCCCGCACTTGTGGGCATAATTATCTTATGAATATTTATTAGCTGATGTTCAATTAATTTAAAAATCAGCATAATGATTAATTTAAAAACCAACATAATAAGTTATTATTTATGTTTTCAAAAGTACCAAGGAAACATCAGATAATTATCAATGACAAAACTAAAACATCAGAAATATTTAAAAAATATATTTCTATAATTATTTTGCTTAATTTATATTTAATTATAATATTTAGACAAATATTTTATTTAATTTACATTTGATTATAATTTTTTATATCTTAATTTTAAATTTTATAATAGAAAAACATATTTTCAAGATAGCAATTTAATGCATAAGTTATTTATTTTCTCAAAATATAATGTGATAATTTTTTTAATTAT